TTGTCATTAGTGATTATCTCAATTTCGGCTAAAAGAATTGACAAAATCCTACACACTGTGCCTTTAATGAAATTAATAAACTTTTGAATTGAATTGAACTGAATTGAACAGAACTGAATAAAATAAAAATGCAGTTTGTTGTATCATTACGCTGTGAGCTTATGAAAACAACTGGGTTGCCTTTAGGGCCTCAGATATCAAATTTCAAAGAAATAATGCATGTGTGTTGGATTATTTTAGATTTAAAGGGTTTGTTATTAAAGGGGGGGTATTGTGTATTTTCACAATCAAGTAATTATGTTATGAAAAAGCTAATATCAAAAATAAATTTGACTTTACATCATAATCCGTCTAAACGTCTTGAAATTGGCCTCTGATGATTTGAGAACCTCCTACCATTTCCCACACTCCCACTTAAGTATGTTTTCAAACAATGCTTTGGGGGAGGAGCTTTGTGTAAATAGGTGGAGCTTTGTATTAGCAGTTCCACATGGCTCCCACAGGAGATTCGAGGATTTCTCAAACAGGGATGACATTATGACAGGATGCAAAGCTAAAAAATAAAAAAAGGTTGATTTTGGACAATACACCCCCTCTTTAATGATTAAATCTTTGCCATAATACCAGGATAAAACTAAAACTGAATCAAGCTGAATTCAGAAAACCTGTTGAATTACTCAAATAAAATCAACATGGATCCCTCCAGGGGTCAAGATGCTTAACCGTTCCAACAGAGAGAGCCTTTACATTTTCAGTTTCCTTCAGTAACTTTACTGTAATTGCTCCAACCATCTGCCTCAGAGTTAGAATGTACTGACTGTTAAAAAGCTAATCTATTTCACATTAAAATGTTCGACTTTACTCTGAAGGTTTTGAATTAAAGACGTTTACAGTCTACTCTGTTTCTTCGACTGGATATGATCTAATTTGCAACAGGGCTGTACGTAAAACGGAGTAAAGACAGATCAGAAGTCATTTCGGTTCAGGTTCCAGTAATACTCACAGCTTTAATGCCTTATCCTCCCAAAGATGACATAACCCCGCATATTTCCAGTCAGTTTTAAAGGTTTCGACTTTGGAAACAAATTCGTACTCAATGATAAGTTGAACCTGGAAATTGATTTCAAATCCAGTAAAACCTGATCTAAAGGTTGATTAATGGCAACAGAAATCTAAAGCCTGAGTGATGAACAGATTCCACAGAAACTCACCTTCGGTCCATACAAGCCCATCGCCCCTGGGAAACCCTGGTCACCACCATCCCCCTGAGGAGCAGAAGAGAAGAACACGGTGATCCAGCAAATGAATCGTGTCATGTAAAATATTTCAACGTACTAGGGAAAAGAATCAGTGCTAACCTGTTGCCCTTTAGGTCCCGGGTCTCCTGGTTTTCCAGGCATTCCCATCACGCCGACAGAGCCTCTCTTTCCTGCCGGACCAGTCTGGCCCGGCAAGCCTCTCTCTCCCTGGAAAAAAGACGAATATCTTTCTCACATCATGTTCACCACAACCTCTGCGGAGACTCTTCCACAGACCGTTTAAAGCCAACAAGCTACTGGTTCATGAACCCCTCACAGACCTCCTGCCTGTGGTCCCTCCTGATTGCTTTCATTGTGGCCACTAATCAAGACTAACGAGGGTTTAACTTCCAAGCCTGGTGGGCTTGAGGTTTGAGCTCATTAACTTACATCACTTGAAAGTCTCAAAATCTGATTTAACTGTCAAACTGTCCAAACTAAATAAATGCTGACATGTCAATTTCTAAATTATGACCTAACCAGAATGTAACTTTAAACCCTAAGAGTGCTGAAAACTTTGTAATATCATAGAAATAAATACAGATTTCCCATGTTTCTAGAAAATCATAGTTTATCATTTATATACTATTGGCAAAATTATGCAAAAAAGAGTCTGACAACTCACTGTTTATTTGATCAAACTTTACAAACTACTGCACTGGATAATGAGGTTATTGTAGGAGAGGTTGTGAGAAAATTCTACAGATTTTATTTTTTTTATGATGGCCTCCCTTCTCCCCCTTTAGCCATCCTCTCCAAACCATTATTATGTTTTTTTAAATAATAATAGGAGAAAAAAAGAAAAAAGTGAAATGCATTGAGAAAGACTGAAAAAGAGATTACAAGATATGTAAATTATATGTTGAGAAAA